TGGCCGCTTCACTCTTTAAAGAGCCAAAACAAAATATAACTCCAATGTACCTGGTTTTGATGGTCAAAAGTGGTCTACTATGTCTACTCCGTTTGCCTGGAAAGGAAGGCCATGTCGTGCTCCAAGATGGCGACTGCAGAGTGGTCCCGTCTCCTGGTCCTCCGGTAATGGCGCCAACTGCGAGGTCTCGTCTCCTGGTCTTCTCCGTCCGCACTGCAGCTCACACACGTCCAGCAAAACATCGAACACAGTTCTCTACATGTGCAGCTCCACACTTCAGCAAGTTCTAGTGCCCTGATCGAGTGCACAAGAGTCTTTTATCAGGCTGGTTTAGCCTAATTAAAGTTCATTGCCGCGAACGTTTAGCCAACGTGCGCTAAGGACTGAAGCTAACACCAACTACAGCAATAATACTGATCTGCCGATCCGCTCTCGAGCTGATGACTGTCCGTACACGCTTTAAAAGAAAACACAAAACAAACAAATCCCGGACTCTTGGGCAAACAGTCCTGAAATTACTGTATTTACTGCAGAAACTCAGACACTTTTTACTCTCTGCGTCTCTTCTCTGTGTATCTCCGACGTTAAGCTAAGCACCGTCTGCACGCACACTTCTGGTTTACCCTTTCAAATTAAAACCACAGCAATAGAGACACACATTGCACTTCCTGTAGACTTTCAAAATAAAAATAATAAAAAATACATCGACTGCAAACAAATTCTTATACATTACCAGGCTCATTAAATGTTTTTAAACACATAACTTATTAAATGAACTATACCTTTTACTATATTTATGTAACTTATAACCAAAGTATGCTTTTAATCCTTTTTAACTGAAACTTACATTATGAACTCTTATCTTTGTATTATTGCTGCCTGTAAATATTCTATCCAGGTTACACAAGGACAACCATTAACGTGGAAAAAGGTTCCGTAGACAATCTGTAGTTTATAGTTCTTGAAGTTGTGTTTCCTCTGGGGTTCTTTATGTCCTGGACCAGTGTGTTTATGTATCTTTTCTGCAAGAACACTCTCTTTCAGGTAAATTCTTTTTCTCTTTTTTGTTACAGATATACAGTACAGTATGTCTATGTTTGAAAAATATTGTGTTTATTGCCTGAAATAAATAAATATCATAAAAAGAACAACTTATTCATGTCAATTCAATCTATTTCAATTACTTTTTTTTTTTAATAGCCCTGAATCACAACAGCAGTCGCCTCGGAGGACTCAGACCGTTGAAACACAGGAAGTGCAATAATAAAATATTAAAGCCATTGGTCTATAGAGGGCGGGGTTATATGTCCCTAAAAGGATCATCGCTGTCCACAGACCCTCCTGCACCACCAAGGAACAACTGTGTTTTGATTTCAACTTGTATTTCTAAGTCTTTGCAATGTCAAATCACAAATGGGTATTGATGGATTCCTCTGTCAAGGCTTCACCCCAGATGGTATAATGTGGAAGGCAATTTCAGCAATCTTGGACAAATGTAACCCATTGGAACACTTTGGTCGTCTCCCTCTTTCTGTGCGTCTCTAATTGGTACACTACTCAATATTATGAGCTTGCTATTTGTCAGACTTTATTAAAATGAATAAATTGCTTCCCCGAAGGAGGCTTCCAAACATTCCTGGAGTGACTTCATCCAGGATCCTGCGCAATTTCAATGGTACGATTTCAGACCTTGGCCGTCACGTTGAGTCCTTGCATTGTTGCAGTCTGTCAAACTATCAATCTTTTAAAACTTGCCGTGATGTGACAGCTGCTTGGCCATGCGCCAGGTTGAGAAAAGTTCAAGTTAAAACCTGAAGCTGTCTTAATAGTCGAGGACAGATTGTGGTCATTTTGAGCAGATAGCAGAAGTCCAGATGTACTCCTCTCTCTCTTTTCATCCTGGTTAGGCCCAAGCCCCGACTGGGATAAGGGCCTATTGCTTTCACAATAGTGAACCGCCACGTTACGCTTTAAAATGATGTATCATGTGCCAATGAAACCTATATTGTTTTTGCTCGGAGATTTTAGGAAAAATACTTCTTATTATTTCTTTTTTCTTTCTCATTTTGAGACATTTTTTTTTTTTACCAAAAATCAGAACGGGCTAAGTTTTTGGTGAAAAATGAGACTTTATCATTTTCACACATGTCGCTTGGAAATCATCTCCTCCTCGACCGTTTCACCGATTTGTCTCAAAATCGTTCCACATCGTCTAAACCCATGTACCATCAATACTTGTTCATAGAATTTTAATTAGTCAAAGGGTCATTCAAATAAATGAATCTGAATCTTATACATGTGCTCCTGTTTACACATACAAAGTCTGATTTGTACTAAACTTTACTCGATTGTTCGAACAACCTTTCTTTCTTCTAAACTTTGCTATATTCATAATTAAATTGTTACAAAATGTATTTTGTTCACCACAAGGCATTTATTTGACAGTGATTACGTCATAGATGATGATGTCGTGTTTTAGAACCCCACAGAGGTTCCGTTGCTATGGTTGCCATGGAGCCATGGAGCCATGGAGCCTTTGGTCTGAACCAGTCCCAGTAAGCTAACTCCAGTTAACTCTGTGCTAGCATCAGTACACATCTGTATTATTTTGCTCGTGAAGAAGTTGTTTTACTGGACTGTTTTGACTTGGTAAGTGAATGCAAGGGTAAGACATCGATACAGTCAGTGTGAAAAATGTTGTAGAAAGAAATAGTACTGACTTTTGGGAAGAGGTTTTGGGCAAAAAAACTGTGTTTTTCTGGTTGTGTAGGAATAATAACATGTGAAACAAAAATGTAGGTTTTATAATGGGCACAGTGGATGCAGAATTGTCTAAATGTATTTAATCATGTGTATTCCTGTCACAAACAGCAAAGACACAGTAATATTATAACTACATGTTTTTGCATATAAACCATTGCAAATCCTTTAGTCTAACTGTTGCTTTCTCTTGCTTAGTGGCAAACTAAATAACTAATACATACATTATAACTTAAAGCCGGGGTTCACAACTTACACGCCACACAAATCTTGGTAATACAACCCATCAAATTATTTTGTTGCTGTCAACTGTTTAGTTTAGTTAGAGATTTTAGACTAGTTTTTGTAATGCTAAAGTTAGAGATTTTATTTTTTAATATCATAGAGTTAATGTTCACTTATCCTTTACAACTGACTGATCAACTTCCTGGTCTTATACTAGTTTGTTTTGGACCCAAATTCTCACGCTGTCGGCTTTACTCTTCTCACTCTTATTTACTTTTAAAAACTACCTCACGATTAACATCCGTAAATGTGGATATCGGTCCAATGGCCTGAGAACGAGTACGAGTATGAGCCTATGGTTTTCACCCGATACCAGTATCTGTATAGTAGTTAAAAGAGTTGTTTTGTAATTCTTAACATTCCCCTTCATTCTGACCTCTGAACGTGAACATAAACTCAAAGACCGACACCGATTTGTCTCAAAATCGTTCCACATCGTCTAAACCCATGTACCATCAATACTTGTTCATAGAATTTTAATTAGTCAAAGGGTCATTCAAATAAATGAATCTGAATCTTATACATGTGCTCCTGTTTACACATACAAAGTCTGATTTGTACTAAACTTGACTCGATTGTTCGAACAACCTTTCTTTCTTCTAAACTTTGCTATATTCATAATTAAATTGTTACAAAATGTATTTTGTTCACCACAAGGCATTTATTTGACAGTGATTACGTCATAGATGATGATGTCGTGTTTTAGAACCCCACAGAGGTTCCGTTGCTATGGTTGCCATGGAGCCATGGAGCCATGGAGCCTTTGGTCTGAACCAGTCCCAGTAAGCTAACTCCAGTTAACTCTGTGCTAGCATCAGTACACATCTGTATTATTTTGCTCGTGAAGAAGTTGTTTTACTGGACTGTTTTGACTTGGTAAGTGAATGCAAGGGTAAGACATCGATACAGTCAGTGTGAAAAATGTTGTAGAAAGAAATAGTACTGACTTTTGGGAAGAGGTTTTGGGCAAAAAACTGTGTTTTTCTGGTTGTGTAGGAATAATAACATGTGAAACAAAAATGTAGGTTTTATAATGGGCACAGTGGATGCAGAATTGTCTAAATGTATTTAATCATGTGTATTCCTGTCACAAACAGCAAAGACACAGTAATATTATAACTACATGTTTTTGCATATAAACCATTGCAAATCCTTTAGTCTAACTGTTGCTTTCTCTTGCTTAGTGGCAAACTAAATAACTAATACGTACATTATAACTTAAAGCCGGGGTTCACAACTTACACGCCACACAAATCTTGGTAATACAACCCATCAAATTATTTTGTTGCTGTCAACTGTTTAGTTTAGTTAGAGATTTTAGACTAGTTTTTGTAATGCTAAAGTTAGAGATTTTATTTTTTAATATCATAGAGTTAATGTTCACTTATCCTTTACAACTGACTGATCAACTTCCTGGTCTTATACTAGTTTGTTTTGGACCCAAATTCTCACGCTGTCGGCTTTACTCTTCTCACTCTTATTTACTTTTAAAAACTACCTCACGATTAACATCCGTAAATGTGGATATCGGTCCAATGGCCTGAGAACAAGTACGAGTATGAGCCTATGGTTTTCACCCGATACCAGTATCTGTATAGTAGTTAAAAGAGTTGTTTTGTAATTCTTAACATTCCCCTTCATTCTGACCTCTGAACGTGAACATAAACTCAAAGACCTTGTGAATTTATTTTGCAAATAGTGACTCAGTAGCGCCCCCTACTTACTTCACTTTGACCCAAAAAATACTTAGAAATTACATCCAAAGAGCCAAAACCTCTGTTTAAGTGTGACTATACCACCACCTGCAGGTCAAAGCCAGATTATGTCACAGCACTAGAGCTAAGCAGGAGAGTGCATGGTTAATATTGTGATGGGAGACCTCTGGGAACACAGGGTGCCCTACTGAAGCAGCAACCAATGAATTATTTTTAATGTAACATTTTCTATTGCAGATCATGCAGTCTTGTCTCAAGAACCCTCCGGACCTGCGCCCCGGGTCCATGATCCGGTCTCAAGCCAACTGCTACCAGTTGCAAGAGTACTTGGACTCTGGGGTCTATGGAACGGTCATGAAGTGTCAAAACCTCACGGCCCAGAGACCCTCAGTCCTGAAGGTCCTCCGAATCCAAAACGCCGGGGACCGTTGGCAGGAGGAGGTAAGTTTGGGGAAAGACATTGAGTATATTTTCACTTGAACTCAGCCTGTTTTTGACGCAGACTTGAAGCTCAAACTGTGTTCAGTTTGTGCAGTTGTTTGTGTTTCACTTCACGGACACTCTCAGGTCAATGTTTGGTCTGCTTCTCCTCGCACAACGCTCCGTGTGACATGGAGCATCTGTCAGAGATATTTATTTATATTTAAACTAGGGCTGTCAAAATTATCGCGTTAATTCCCGTTAATTACCGTTTTCATTAACGCGTTAAACAATAATTAACGCATTAACTGCCATTGACGTGTTAACACGTCAATTGCGTTTCCCGCTATTTTCACGTTCCCAGATGTCTGTTGTATCAAATATGTAAGGCTTGAGGCAATATTTTATTGAGCCAGCAGATGGCAGCATTGCTCTATGAATGGTTTGAAAACAGCTAGATGCACATGTGCCTCTTTTTTCTCAGCTTTCTGGTGATTTCAATAAAACTTCCCTCTACTCGACTGGGGATTACAGTCGAGTAAACAAGCTAGAAACAAAATTATTTTTGCTGATGAAAGTAGACAGTCCATTCTTTCAGAATCTGGTTTTGGATTTCAGATAGTCATAGTACACAATATTCTGTGGGTCTTGAAAATTCAGTAAAAATTATCAGAAACGGTTGGCAATATGAGAGTACCTGTTCTGAAATAGGCTGGCAGGCAATCGCATGTCCGAATGACCCGCCCATTTATAATAATATCACTCAGAACGCCGCGGACACATGCGTGATGGTGACAGCGGTAACGTGGTCATATAATACACACATATATACGCGCACAGGGCCATTCTCTGATGTTGTGTGACACACGGAGGAGAGGAGGAGACACGCTGAAATGCAACCAAACTCGCAAAATTAAAGCTGGGGTACCTACATTTTCGCTTTCATTAACAGCTCTTGTTGGTTGTACCCAAAAGTAGAAGGTTGTGAGCAAGTCAAACAGATTTGAGAACATTTGGTCTGAATAACAATGTGTCATTACATTTGAAAATCTCATTTAACTTCAATTGGAGTGGATTTGAAATAGAATGTTAAAAATGCAATTCATCGTGAGTTAACTCACCATTACTATGCGATTAATCAACTAAAAAAAATTCATCGTTTGACAGCCCTAATTTAAACACATTCATTTCTCCAGATTCATGTGTTGCTATGGATGATTGTCGCATCACACGTTCAACAGTTATTCTCTCTGTTACCAGTCGATGTGTGGAAGAAGCTGGATTTTAAGTTTAGGAGCTTCTTTTCAATAAGACAGCGTAAAAAGAAGCTAGTACATCTTAGTTAGCTGACATGTTTGAGTGGGAGACTTCGTTAGAGGAGACACGTCTGAAGGATCCTCCGGTAACAGCAGCTGATTTTGTCACATGCAAAAGCGTTCAAAACTGTTTAAATAAAACTACTAACTACGCTGTGTAGTCTGTGGAGTTTGCATGTTCTCCCAGAGTCGGCTGAAGTTTCCCCAGGTCCTCTGGTTTCCCCCATCGCTAAACCATGTACAATAAGTCTGAATTAGCAATCCGTAAACTCCAGTCAATTATAATATCCCTACATGTACGGTCTGATCTTAGTGGCTGCAGTTTCCTGGGTTGTATCTCCTCCGACCAATCAGCGAGCGGGGGAGGCGGGTGTTGTGTAATGTCAAGACTTTGCTGATAGTAGTTTGGCAATGGCAGCCAATGCAAAAGTAAAGTTTTCTGTTCTGGTTTGGCTCCAAATATCAAGGCATTGAAGCCAGAGCAAGAGCAAAATTCTCATTATCGGCAAAGATGTTGTGGCTCTACTCCCCACGGCCTCCGTTAGTGGTAAAGGCGATGGCTAAAGCTAAGTTTCAATATGCAAATGGCGTTGACCCCTCCCACCTGATAACGGAGCTCAATGAAGCAAATCCAGACCTAAGTACGAAATGAAATGAGTGATGAGTGAGTGAATGGATGATGTCGGGGGCTTTGATGACCTCATGGTGATGATCCAGTACACTTTAACATTCTACAACCCTTTTATCAACTTTTGTGGACATTGGTCTCTCCATATGGACCAATACCATGTGTTCTATTTTCTTTCTGTGTTTTAACTGTTGATTCTCTGATCTGTGTTGGTGATTTCAATGGTTTTGTTTAGTCTCTGAGATGATGCAGTTGTGATTTAGTGAGATACAAGAATACATTCCGTCATCACCGTGTGCAGAGAATGGAAGAATATTACTTATATTAATACTAAGGCATCACTTACATACTAAAGATGACTTACTAATATGATCTCTGACATTCCCTGTTAATGTGTCCCACAGGTGAAGATCCTCCAGATCCTGGCCCAACACCAAGGCCACAATAAACCCATCGTTCAGTGGTTTCACTCGTTCCAAGCCTCTGGGCATTTTATCCACGAGTTTGAGCGACTTGACATCAGCCTCAAGCAGTTCGTGACGCAGAGTCCGAACAAAAGTTTAGGGCTGAGGGAGATACGCCCCATCGTCTCTCAGGTACAAACTGATGCGTCGCCATGGTAACGCCTCGCACTGGGACCATAGATAATGACCCACAACCCTCAGATAGCTAAGACCAGGGTTTGTTGGTTAGCATTGCTGCACACTTTTAAGAAGAGTTTACTAAAGCTTTGTTTTCAGAAAGAGGTTTTTCAAATATATGACCAGGATAAGTACATGGTTAGATTATATTCATATGTACCAGTATTAGAAGTGTTCAGAGGCCAATTCCATGTTGTGACTGATGATTTAGTCAGAGTTTTACCACGTGGTTCTACACACACATACACACACTTTTACAGACAGACACACACACACACATATACACAGACACATACAAACACACACACTTACAGACAGACACGCCCACACACGCACACTTTTACAGACAGACACACACATACACACACTTTTACAGACAGACACACACACACACATATACACAGACACATACACACACACATACACACACTTTTACAGACACACTTTTACACAAACACACACACATACAGACACACACTTACACACAGACACACTCACACACACTTTTACAGACAGACACGCTCACACACACACACTTTTACAGACAGACACGCTCACACACAGACACTTTTACACACAGACACACTCACACACACACACACTTTTACAGACAGACACGCTCACACTCACACACTTTTATAGACAGACACGCTCACACACACACACTTTTACATACAGACACACTCACACACTTTTACACACAGACACGCTCACACACAGACACTTTTACAGACAGACACGCTCACACTCACACACTTTTACAGACAGACACGCTCACACACACACACTTTTACAGACAGACACGCTCACACACACACTTTTACAGACAGACCCGCTCACACACACACACTTTTACAGACAGACACACTCACACACACACACTTTTACAGACAGACACGCTCAGACACACCCCATCCATGTAAATATCTGCTGTGTTGTCTGTTTCTTGTTTTTGTTATTGTATTTGATTGTGCGTCTGCTCCTGCATTATTTCTATATTAAACAGAAAAAGTTGTACTAACCTGGAGTCCACTTGCAGATGGCACACGCCCTCAGCTTCCTTAAGGCTCTAGGGATCATGCACAATGACGTGAAACTAGACAACATCATGTTGGTGGACCACCTCAGGAAGCCTCTGAGCGTTAAACTCATCGATTTTGGTTTAGCCAGCACAGAGAAGTGTCAGGGCAGGGAGATTCAGAGCAGAGCCTTCAGGTACGTAAGCAACACAGGGACAGAATCAGGGACGCTGTAACTTCAAGATTCAAGAATGTATTTGCCATTTGCAGTAAAACCACATTGGAGACACTTTGCAAGACTACCCCAGTGTGCACTAAGTGATCCATGTGTTGTTGTGTATAAATAATGATTACTTGGTGTTGTGTAGGGCAGCATTGAACCACTTAGATCAGAAATGTATGTGTTTCAACTGTTATTAAGGACTCTTTGATGGTCCATTTGTTGCCTCAATAATCATTTGATTGTGATTTTGAAAAAGACTGGACAAAAACAAGGCTAGACTTACGCAACTTGAAAACATTTAAGAATAATAATAACAAATCTGGATGGCAGACTGAAATCTCTCATCCATCCACACAAAAACATGAATTCATACAAATAGAAAGAATTATGATATAGTAATGATAATAGTGCAACAGAACTTAAGGTCCCAGCAGCAGATGGTGAAGCCGCTGGTGAGCTGCTCGGTTCAGACTATTTTATCTGCTCTGGTTCAAAGTGAAATGCTGGGGGAAAAATCCTCCAGTAGATTTCTGCTTGATCTGCTTGGTTGGGACCATGTATCCTCTCTGCTCTGGTCTGGATCAGAGTAAAACCATGAACACTGTACTGAAGTAACATTTACAGCCAGAAAACAGCACAACAAATAATAAATAACAATTGTAAAACACCAAAACATCAGTTTCAGAGCGACTTAGGACGTGCTGTTGTTTCCAGCGCATCCAGAAGTAAACAAAAAGAATATTACATTTCTTAAATCTGTAAAAGTATAATTCTATGTGAAGAGTGTTTCAGGGTTCCAAAACTCTCTATGTTAAAACCATTATTACAAACAAATGCACTTCTGTTTCTTCCCACAGAGCTCCAGAGGTCTTTCTCGGGGCCCCTGTGGACTCGGCGGCTGACATGTGGGCCCTGGGCATCGTCGCGGTGTCGATGTTCTTGGGAAGGTTTCCTCTTCCAGGCCACAGCGACGAGGACATGGTCAGTATCAGCAGGACTTTGCTCTGGTCAAGTCAAGGCCACTCCTGTTTACTGTAGTTATCTGTTTGGAATGATCAAACAGCACTTTCTGTTGGACTCATCCAAATGTAAGGATTGTGCAAATATCAGATCCTGAAATATTGTGTCCACAGATGAGGCACATCGTGGAGACAGTGGGACACTGTCCTGCAGCCGTCATGGACTCTGGCCTCTACACCATCATGTATTATAGTCTCTCCAGCAGCGGGAAGTGGGAATACATGGTTTGAATGAATACTTATTTCTGGAAATCTCAAACAAATCTCATACATGAGCTCATGGGGATGTGTGTGTTTCAGTTTACGCCTCTGAAACCGGAACAGAAAGTGTTACATCGGTTGGATGACATGGACAGGGTAAGAACAAAGAATTCAGGCAGTAGATCCAGGACTCAGATGACATTGCTGATCTTCCTCTGTATGTGTTTCAGAATGACCGTTCAGGGCGTGCGGCTGTTTACATTGAGCCTCGGGACCGACACGCCTTCGTTCACCTGGTGAAGGAAATGTTGGACCCAAACCCAGCCACCAGGATCACCCCAGCAGCGGTGATGTCACATCCATTTGTGAGCATGCGTCACCTGGTCAGGGGCAACCAATGCTAGTGAGTATCACCCCCTGATCACAGGCCACAATCATAGACCCAAAGTCATAAAAACAAACGATAACACATAGTAAAACAGATACACACACACACGAGAGGCGTGAGAGCCTTATTTACTGTGCACGTTCTTCATTGACAGGTCACAGTAGAACTAGCAAACACAAAAAGAATAAACTTAGGATGTAGAACATAAATAATGCACACAAAGTATTCATTGACACATCTACACAAAACCCACTGACTGTAACTTGCAGCATAAAGGTTTTTGACCCGGGTGGATCATCAAGACTTTTGGTCCTCCTAATTCTCAATCATTCTGGTGTCACGTGCTCGTCCATTAAGACCAGAGAGGTTCTTTCCTAAAATGTGGGAAAATCCTCCTCTATACCTTTAACTTATAAATCTTTACTGTACTTGCTTAACTTAGCGCTGTCGGGTCCATCTTCAAATCAATTGTACTGAAAGTAGCGATTCCAAATGCAATATATAAAAAAATTAACACGCCACGTTACGTTGATAAAAATTGCTCTTGTAACTCACAAACAAATGTAGCTCAAATAAACAGAAACCAAAAATGAAAATGTACAAAATAAAAAGAAACTATTCTTAACTCTGGACAAAGGAAAACGAGCGACTAAACTTTCTCCATTGTGAGATCAATAAAGTTTCTTATCTTAAACTTGTGTCTAAACAAAAAAAACGGTTACACATTTGGATAAAACCACATACAACATGTTGCACAACACACACAACCGGGCATTTTGTAGACAGAAGAACCTCTCCTGCTACAGATATATCTTACAAAACCATTTTGATACATGCAACATATGGAGTCATGGAGTGTTTATAGTCAGTAATTGTGGTAAAATTGTTGTTTTTTCAGTCATGAATCCAGTTATGACGCTATGCACATTGCCAACTGCATAATAAAGAAAAAGGGGCCGTCAAACAACTCAGGCTTATCCCAGAATGTCCGGGCCGTTCCCGTCTCTGTCCCTGAAAAACGAAAAAGGACAGAGACTGGTGACAATTGTAACGGACTGGACTCCCAGAGGAAGAGAGGGAGAATCCAGGAGCCGACCACACCAGGGCGAGAACCCGACACCACCCTCGTCAGGGCTAACCTCCGCACACCGGATCCACCAAAATGCCTGAAACCAAGTCGCCCAAAAACAGAAACACCCAGTTCCCAGGAACACCAGCAGACACCACCAAAGGGTGTGCAGGAGAGGACCGGCAGGACCAATTACAAAACAGCAAGTCCGCCAAATACGAAAAGGACTCGTAGCGAGAGGGACCAGGAGAGGACATTGGTAAAGAGAGTCAAGTCAAGTCAAGAAGCCTCCACGATTGACCAACCATGTCCTAAGTCACCAAAAGAAAGGACTTTTTTCCACGGGGCCCAGCGGAGGAACTTCAGAGAGAAAGAGACAAAAGTCACATCCACAAGTGAAAACGCATCGCCAAGTCCACCATCCATCTGAAGAAGGAGCAGGAGTCACAGCCAGCAGCAGTATACTTAAAACTTTCCCTTTAAATTTATCCATTTTCTATCACACACTTCATTCAGTCATCATCGGCCCTACACCCAGCATTATACATGTTAATATCATGTATGAAAACACATTCAGGTCACCAAACATGTATTTGTTCATTCAGGGCGGTTAGGGTTAGGGTTTGTCCGGACCTCACAACGGTCTGTCCAAGACCTATGGGACTGGCGAGTGCCGGAGTGGGCGATCGTTGTGTGCTTAGGCAAGACACGTCACCCACATCCTTGTTTCTACCCCCAGTCAGGCCCAGGCTTGAAATGGGAGGTAGGGACAAGGCAACCGCTCCAGTTGGAGAGGGTTGTCCGGTATGAAACCTGCTCCTGTTGGTGAAGACTGACCGTTGTGTTCATGGGCAAAACACTAACCCCGACCCCCTCCATCTCCCCCCTCCCGTCCCCTCCCTCCCCTCTCCTCCCGCCCCTCCCTCCCATCCTGGACGCCTCACTGGGGAGGTGTTTCAGGCACGTCCCACCGGGAGGAGGCCCTGGGGAAGACCCGGGACACGCTGGAAGGTACTATGTCTCTCAGCTGGCCTGGGAACGCCTTGGGGTCCCTCCTGCCCATTCTGCTGCTGCTGTGACCAGCTGCCCTGCTCCACAAAAACGGAAGAAGAAAAAAGAAACCACGGCCCAAAGTATCGGTCTGATGCCTACAAGCGAGAAGAGAAGAATGGCGGACCATCTGCAGAGGGTAAGTGTAACTGTATTTATCTCATACACATATATTTATTATAGAGTAGACTAATCATGTCAATCACTGTAGTAACATCCAAGTCTTGACATTAAAAATGATAAATAGCATTTCCCTACATGTACGCCTGGTCTTACCATGTGTAAACTCTGGTCCATGGTCATTTCTTACATGTACGTCTGGTCTTACCATGTGTAAACTCTGGTCCATGATCATCTCCTACATGTACGTCTGGTCTTACCATGTGTAAACTCTGGTCCATGATCATTTCCTACATGTACGTCTGGTCTTACCATGTGTAAACTCTGGTCCATGGTCATTTCTTACATGTACGTCTAGTTATCTTAGAGGACTTTTCAAAACAATTGAATTTGCCAACATAAATGCAATGATAAAAAACACACAGAACTAATTTGTTTTTAAATGCATTGTATTTTTTACAGGTTACAGAGTGTGTGTGTGTGTGTGTCGCACCATCACTACTGCCGCCCATCTGCTTCAGGTATTGCTTTGATAAGACAGTAGCTCAGTTGGTAGAGCAGTGGCCTTTGAGCCTGGAGGTCGTGAGTTCGATTCCCACCATGGGACCTATTCCAACTGCTCCCACTGGTGTCTACTGTCGTTGTGTCCTTGGGCAAGACACTGAAGCCCCCGTTGCCTGAAGCCCCCCGCTGAAAGACCAAGGCTGTTTCACCACTGATGGAGCAGCCATCTTCCTGTGGACTCACCCCCTTCAGAGGATCAGAGGGACTGGTGCTATGAGCGTTGGGTGGCAGCTCTCATTGCCACCCCCCTGACCCAGAAATGGACAATAAAGGGCTTGAAAATGAAATGAATGAATGAAGATTTGTTTTGAATATATCTAATATATCTTCTTTTCTCACCATTGGCTTTGTATCTTCCCCGTGCACCTGCAGCGTCTTCTGTGTGTACCCCTTTGTGTACCTTTGTGTGTACCCCTGTGTGCACCTCTGTGTGTACTCCTGTGTGTACCCCTTTGTGTACCCCTGTGTGCACCCCTTTGTGTACCCCTGTGTGCACCTCTGTGTGTACTCCTGTGTGTACTCCTGTGTGTACTCCTGTGTGTACCCCTGACTTGGCGGCCCTTCTCGATACGAGTCTGTATATATCATATCAGTATATATCATCCTGTCTCATAGATATCAGATGGATTGATTTGTCATTGTACGTTTTGTTTTTTAAGTAAACTCTCGGTACTTGGAGAATATCGTCCTTCCTCTTGGTCCCTGAGCATCTCATGTGTAAGTTCACTTTTGTGGATCTTAACAAATATCTGTGAAGTCTCTCGTTGCTCGTTTGCATTATTTATGAGAAATATATTCACACATTTCAGGTGAAAGAGGCTCAGCTGGAGATGCAACTTAAAGCTGGGTGACGTTCAAGATGACAATGGCGACGATGACAGTGGTTCTGACTATGAGCCACAGATTTGCATACGGTAAATTATTACAACATAAGAGTCAAAAACATTATTATATTAAGGCCCAAGCCTCAACAGACGGAAGGGGCTATTGAGTAATGCCTCATTTAAAAATGAGATTATGAGATTCATCTTTAAATATGATCAGATTAATCTTTAAATATTTCAGACCCTGAGAGGAGATCCAAAGTGAACCCCAGGGAGAGACCGGTGCTGAGACCAATGTGGACCGAGAAGAGACTATAGACTGGAGAGTCCAGTGCGGACCCGATGAGAGATCATAGACTGGAGAGACCAGCACGGACCTGAAGAGAGACCAACGCGCCCCCAAGGAGAGACCAACGCCGACCCAAGGAGAGACCAATGTGGACCCAAGGAGAGACCAACGCCGACCCAAGGAGAGACCAATATGGACCCTGAATGCCCCCTATAGAACGGATGGGGTCACTGATTGATGGCATGATGTTCATTTTATTTGATAAAGCTTTGGCACATTGGCTTTAAATATTGTACACATACATTATGGAACGGTGCAATAGGATGTTATACAATACATACATGGGCGGCACGGTGGCTGAGTGGTTAGCACTCTCGCTTCTCAGCAAGAAGGTCCTGGGTTTGAATCCCGGTCGGAACAGGGCCTTTCTGAGTGGAGTTTGCATGTTCTCCCTGTGTCTGCGTAGGTTTCCTCCGGGTACTCCGGTTTCCCCTACCACTAAAAACATGCACAATAGGTCTGAATGTAAATGAGAGAGTGAATGATGGTGTTGGAGCCGATGGTCCAGTGTGTCCTGGACTCGCTTCTGTCATCACCGTGTGTGGAAGGATTGGAACAATATCTGACTCTGAACATTGTAACGCGCTTTGGGCCTTGGTCTGTAAAATGCGCTATATAAATAAACATTACTTACTCACTTACGTTGTCTCAAGTCCTTCTGTCAGTTGTTTACTGTCTCATGTTTGTACGTGTTCAGTCCTTGTTCATGTCTTGTATAAAGTCTTGTGTACATTGCATTCTTTGCATGATTTGTATTGTTATGTTAACATCAACCTGCCAGGGCGTCTGCAGTGGAAATTAGCTTAACCCTTTATGCGCCAGAGGTTTTTTTCTAAAATTCTCTATTTTGACTTCTTAAATTCAAAAGGCTACAACTTAAAAGTGATAAGAGATAAAGGCTTTCTGTAAATTAGAAAAATATTAAGGATGGTCCAAAGTTTATGTAGAGAATAAATCCCCCCATCTAATTTGCATATTATGACGTCACATGGCGTTAAAAATTGTGGATTTTATAATTTTCATACAATATTTTTATTTTT